CTAATGCTCATTTAGAACCACAGACATTTACAACTATTTGGCCCACCATGTCTGTGCTTGTTCCTTTAAGAGCAATCGTTTCAGTCACATTTACTTATTCATTCCCCATACCTATATGGTTTGCTCCTATTCAGATATTTGCCTTTTGAAAGGTAATGTGCTGTGAATTTGTATATTTGTAATGAGTCTGGAATTTGCTGAATGAATCCATTGGAAAGAATTGTGGTCAATCAAGTAATGTTGAGTGCAGAATGCTTCTGTGTTCCAGTGAGTTCTTCTCTTGTTTACAGCTTTTTATTTATTTCAAGTATGACCGGGTTCACACCATGAAGGAGCAATGAATGGAGAATTGCATTCTGATTTCATGTGGTGGAGTAATAATTGGAAGCTGAGCTGACAGCCCTCTGTAGCTGAATGTTTGTTTTTCTATTGCTGAAACAAAGTGATAATAGCCCTTTGGTGGCATTGAGTACAGTGGCAAAGGGCCACTCACTGTGCTTCCACTCTGTTCTTTCTTAAGACAAGCAAGCCACTTACTAGGCTCTATACTGATACCACTGTTCAGTGTTCATTGCCTTACTTCTATTACATCCCTGTTACCTTTTTGAGGCTTGGGGCCAGGAAAGATGTGTGAGTGCAGAGATTATAATACATAAAGGACTGTGTGACATTTATAATGGATCAGTTGGAATCTCTAATGTCTCAATGGGAAAATGCATTGCTCAATATGGTGCTGAGCCATAGAAATCCAGATGTTCCGGATTCAGTCGCTGGCCTCCTGAATTAAACTCAAGGCATTGGCGGTGGAGCTTTGACCTGTGGGCTATAACCGGAAAATAGGCTATGTTTTTGCTCCTGGGAAAATATGGGGGAAGAGAAATACCAAGGTTGTTTTTTTTTTCAGTCTTGTGTAGAATTCCACATGCACATTGTTTTTCTTTCTTCTGGTTAACATTTATCAGCGGCTCTAATTTTCCTTCTTTGATAAAAGTAGGGTCTTATGAATCCAAACTCTTATTTATCGTGACCTGTTTGCATTCTACAATCTGCTCTATTCCGAATCCACGGGAATGCTAGTAATCCTATTTATACTCCATCTGGAGTGAAGTGATTGGAATGAGATGGCATTAGGTAGATGTGGATTAATAGACCCATACCGCCCAGAGATGTTGCAGTAAATGTTGACCTTTGGAAATAATCCTTTTTAAGTGAACACTATATTATGTTACAATTCTTACAAATAGCAATGCTCACATAGGACTTTTTAAAAAAATACATATATGTACGTGTGCATGCACAGATGTAAGATTCAAAGCATTCTGCCTGATGCCACTCGTTCACCCATTTTTCCAATTCCTCCCCTCCTAAATTGATCCATACATAGAGGTAAGGTTCCACAGGTGCCAATCGGCCTTCAGGTCCTCACCCAAGTGATTATAATTCATGTGTGAGATTTCACGATTCTTCCATGAAGGTTATTAGCTGAGTTTTGATTGTGCGCGTTGCAGAAGGATTTCTAGAGTGAGAACCTTGGCTGACNTTTTTTTCTCTCGCCCTCTCCAGCTGATTTTCCCCTTGCCCCAGCTGAGATTCAGTAAAATCAAACCTTCCATTCTTTGTGGCTCAGTGCTGCATTAGGTGGCACTTTTTACCTATAAGGGACAAACTCATTGCTTGTTGACCTCCCCAACTCCTCCCTCCACCAACTGCAGATCATCTAGAACCCTGCAGCCCATGTTCTCTCCCGCACTAAGCTCCGCGACCCTATCACACCCATCACACAGAGGATACAGTTCAAGATTCTGGTCTCACCTCAAGGTTCTCCACGGTCTTGCTCTCTCCGACCTCCTAACTCCCTACTACCCCGTTCGCTCCCTCCACTCAGCGGGCTCCGACCTGCTTCACTTCCCCGCCCTGCTCGCCCCACTATTGGTGGGTGGGCCTTCCGCCACTCTACCCCCCACGTTCTGGAACTCCATCCCGCAGCCCCTCCGTCTCACCCTCTCCCATACCACCTCAAGACCCTCCTCTTCGACCGTGCTTTCGATCCCCCTGCTTCCCCCCTGCCTCCAGGCTCCCCCACCCCTACCCCCAACTCGGGTCTGTAACTCTGTCTGTCCAGTGCCTTGGGATGTCTTCCCGATGTGAAAGGCACTATACAAATGTAATTTTGTTGTTGTATTGTATTCATTGATGAGTCCTGTAGCTCAGTGGTTAGAGCGCTTGCCTCGCAAGCAAGAGACCTGAGTTTGATTCCTGGCAGGGTGAAAAATTTTCTTACTCCACACGCCTTTGCTTACCTAGCAGTAAGTAGGCTCTCCGTTGTTAGTCGATTGGTGGATCGCTTTTCCTTTTCTCGGGGTAATGATTCCTTAAAAAGCATTGGTCACGCAATCCACGACTATTTGTGGGAAACTGCTGTACGCAATTGGCTGCTGCATTTTGCTCACAAAACATCCAGTCAATTCATTTTAAGGTTTATTTGAAGACATGATAAGGCGCTATATCAATTGCAGGGATTATTATTATTAAGTATTGATATGTGCAAAATTGGCTTTTGTGCTGAAAATTTCCATTTCTATCTTCTACTCATTGTGCTCTGCTTCTGTGTTTTCATCTGGCTTCATAAATAATCGGTTTCCATAATTGGATCAGCAGAAGGTCCACCTTTGCAATCTGGTTGTCCCTGGAGATTACTGTTGTTGTAGCCTGAAGTTGTGGTGTGAATATTGCACATTGAATATTGCAATATCAGATACCAGCCACTGGGTGGAGCAGAATGAAACCCACCGAAGTTCAAACAAATTCCAGTTGCTTTAAGTTGCTGCATAAATCCTTGTTTAGCAGAACGTCATAATGTATTGTCCAAGCAACATCCACACATGTATGTTTATTGTGTGGTCTGTCCAACAAATTACTGTAACTTTTGCCTTTCCGTTTGCCTGCTTGACATCTAGGCCTGGATGAGCATTTATTATTTGTAGTTAAATATGGACAAGGTTGAAGCCATCCTCCTTGGCTACCCCCAATGTCTCTTTATGGCTCTAACCTCCTCTACATTCTTGACTTCGCTCTTAAACTTATTATTATTATTAAACTCACTGAACCTTACAGGGAAACCTCAGTGTCTGGTTTGATTTGCCCCACTCTCCATCATTCCTTACATTTCTGTCCCTGACTAAGACGTACCTTTCTTCACCCCCACCACATTGCCCACTTTCACCCCTATCCTGTACTAAATGGGATTGAACCTTTTTTTATTGCCTTTTTTTTTTTGAATGTGCTTGTTGGCTGTTTCCCAGTTCCACCATGCACAAGAAAGATCCAGCTCATCCAAAAATCTGCTGTCGCATCCTCACCCGCACCAAACCTCCAGTCCTCGTCGGGTTCCACTGTCTTCCTGTTTGTCAACAGATTGACTTCAGTTACTCACCCTCGCGTATAAATCCCCATCGACGCTTCCTAGCACCTTCCTTTCATTTGATCTTCTCTCCACTCTGTTTGGCGAATTGGGGCCCGCTGCTATTCCTCCCCTTCCGCACCATTGTTGGCTGAGCATTAGGTCATTACACCCCTAACCTCCAGAACTACCTCCCTCTACTTTCCTGTCTTTCAATAATCCCATTTTAAAACCTACCTCTTCTCCCTTGCTTTGTGTCAGACCCTGTCATTGTGAAACACTTGGACCTTATGCTATATAAATGCAAATTATTGTTGCACTCGAGTCTGGCAATTCAGATAAGAAGTAGCACTGTGCGTTTTAAACCAACCACTTGTTTTTGTTGCAATTTATGTCAATTTAACTTGAGTTGTCCATGAGACACATCAAACAGGGGCTTTGAATATCTGATCAGCAACCCTTAATTGCATTTTAGGTCAAACAGCTGTTAGTTTAACATTTCAGTGATGTTTGAACTAGAAAAATTTACAACACAAAATAAGGCTATTCAGCAAACTGTTTGTGCTAGCTCTTTGAAATAGTCCATTCAATCCCATTTAGCTGCGTTTCCCTATACCCCTGCATATGACTCCTTTTTGGACATCTGTCTCATTCCCTTTTGAAAGCTAATCTGAATCCTACTTTGATCATTGCACCCAGCAAGACATTTCACATCTTTACAGTTTGTTTTTTAAAAAAATCCCTTATCCCTAGCTCCCTTGCTAATATCTTAATTTGATGCCCTCTCGTCACTGCTGTAACCAGTGGGAGTAATTTTTCCCAATTGACTCCATTTTATTTCTTGTATCTTTTTCTCACATATGCAACTTTTTTTTTCTTGATTATGACAGTGAATTCTGTGACAGGAATTTTACTTGATAACATCCATGTTTCAGATGCTGTTGGAGCTATTAGTGCATCCAATGTTAGGTTAATTGATCGCTTGGAAACTCAAATGATTTTAAACCAAATTGAGGGAGGGTGAACTAGAGAAGAACGAATTGTCTTTATACAGGGTGACCAAAAAGTTGATACCATTTATTTTAATAATTACTAATAATTATCATTTTGTTTAAGACTCATGAGAGACATTGTAATGGTATCACAACTGTTTGATCACTCTGTACAAGTTGTGTATTTTTGAGTATCTGATTCCACCATTGCTATTCTCATTGAGGTCTGCATGCAACAGTGAAGGACCAGATTGGGCTCAGCTGTGATTAAATAGGATTGAAAGCCTGCTGAAACTCATTGGGCAAGGTCCACATATGTCCATGGAAACATCAGAAGGTGTACAGGGCCTAGGAAAGGAGCAGAAAAGATTGGAAGAAAAATTAATATTAAAAAAAATCAAAGGAGGGAAGTGTGTAATGAAAAGACTGACTTAATTTTAGTTACTGCTGTCGAATAATTTGTGTAATACTTATTTTTGCTGCATTGCCACTCCCCTGCATCTAGTGGGATAAATAAGCATCACATCTTGACTGGTGCTTGTCATGGTGAGAGGTGTGGAGACTTGCTAACCCAAGCTGATATTCCTTATCCTGTTCTTTCGTTGCAGGTTCTGACAGTTTCTCTCACGGTGTCTGTGTGGAGAAGGCCACACACACTCCAGTACAACGACGGCTTTTGCTTGCGTTTTCCAGTGTTTCTTCTGTCAGAGAGTGCACCAGGCTTGTAACTCTTCGACTGCCAGCCCAGAGCTTAGCAGCGAAGAACACCCGTTGGAAATGGTGAAGATGACTAAGTCGAAAACCTTCCAGGCTTATCTGCCCAACTGCCACAGGACGTACAGCTGCATCCACTGCCGAGCTCACCTTGCCAATCACGATGAGCTCATCTCCAAGGTATGGGCTGCTAACTTTTTCACCTCCTTTTACCCCTTCCTCCTTGTAAAAAATCTTTATCAATAAAACTCATGACTAAGGGATTCACTTCCCCCTCCTCAGTGGCTGTTGGCAGACCTCTTCTGTTGTCCAAAGAGAGAAAGCAAGAGATTGCTATTAATAGCAATTAATAGCAAAGAGATTGCTATTAATAGCCAATCTCATCCATTGGAAAAGTACAGATACTCCTAATTATGACTTATAGCTTCAATTGAATTATCAGCTCATTAGGATGTTTGTTCCATCCTCTTGTGCCTGGCCTCTACACAACCAATGTTCATGATAACATTTTTGAAATTCTGAGCTCATCGTGTGGAGAATCACAGGCTTAGATTTCCATGTAGAAATATAGAAATGCCCCCCAGAGAAGGAGCAAACACGGATGAGATAGTTTTCTTTTAGGAAATTACATTATGGGATATAGTACATTGGTAGTTTGGGACGTGTGGGTAGTTTGTGGAGTCCTGTAACTCAGTGGTTAGAGCACTCTCCTCGCAAACAAGAGACCTGCGTTTGATTCCCGGCAGGGTGAAACCTTGAGCAAGTTTCCTTACTCCACACACCTGATAATCCCTCAAGAAAAAAATAAATAAATTGGTCACTTCAATCCATGACTGTTTATGGGACAATTGGCTGCCACATTTCACCCATAAAAATCCAGTCCATTCATTTTACAGTCTATTCTGTGAAGAGCTTTGAGACATCTAGAAGACGTGAAAAGCGCTATGTCAAATGCAAGGATTATTTTATATTTTTACTATATTTGTACATGCGACCACCTGGAAGATGAACTAGATGGACCTTGGTGTTTTTTTGTCTAGCATTTCTTATATTCTTGAGGAGTCCTGTTGACCCTTCGTGTCTGCCCCAGAAAGGAGCTATTGACCCCAATGTGTTGTGGGGGGCATGAAGGGATCTGAAATCCTATCCACTTGATTTCATTGAATCAGCTTCTTCTGATTTATGCGCGTTTAGCATTTCTCAAAAACTGCTGTCCCAAATGACATCTTACATGTGCTGGCACGTTAGGCAGAGCTAGAGACGCAAGCTGGCCAGCTACCAGTGTCTGAGAACCTGCCTCACAATGAATGAGAAGGGCAAGGACAAAACTGATCAACATTCTTTAAAAGTAATAATGGTGACCAGACTGCAACGTATGGGACAGATTAATTTTATTATAAAGCAGCTGAGGTTTACTGCCACACTTTTTGACCTATGTGTGTCCTCAATGAGATTTCAGCTTGGCAATTGCCTCCAGTGTTTTTTTTCTCAACCTTGTACATTAGTTTTTTTTGTTGCAGCAGCTGTCCGGGTGTGGGTGTGGAATCCTCGCATACTCCTTCTCACTATTGAAGGATGAGCCACACCGTTTGACCTGGATTTCAATTGAGAGAACGAGCAAGCTCAATATAGCCTGCAAAAAGAACAAGTGGACATTAAATCTGATTGTGGTTGAGTAACCTATATGGTATTGAAGTAGTAATGAGAGAGAATCGGTGAACAGGCTTTTGTGGTGTGGTGGGGGGCAGGATTGGGTGGTACCAGGAAGGAAAGGTTCTCTGTTTAATTAAGCCTTTCCTGTTCTCCAGTTCCTTGTGTTTTGCAGGATTACTGATAACACATGGCCCTGAGGCTGCCAGTGCAAATACCAGACTCTTGTTTCTCCACCCATAATGATGTTTAATTTTAACCATGCATTGAATAATGATTGACAGCCTTGCTTGGTGTGGCCATCACCAATTTGAAAAAGACTATTTGCTGTCTTTTTAAAAAGAAAATCCTGTTTTATTTGGGGAAATACATCGGGCTTCTGCGTGAAGGCAGAGATTTAACTGAAAAGTAGTTGGTGCTTTGACGACCACTTTTATTTGCACAGGTTTGTATTTTCTGCTTCAGGTTCTGGTTTCATCAGTCTTAGCCCTGGTATCCTTTAAACTGCAGCCTTTAATTGAGCAAATTTTGCAAATCACTTCATTCTCAAACCTACCTGGAGAGTTCCTTCATAACATTCGTGGTTTGCATTTTTTTTTCTTTGCGCCCAACTGGGGCTGTGACAATTCTATGTCTGTTGCTGGATGGATCAGTCTGGTTGGCGTGAAGAACACTTGACAATCAGTTCAAAGAAACTTGTGAAAACATTTGGTCTGGGGGAATGTTTACTTGTTGGTGTGTCTTGGTGTCCATTAAGCATATCTTAATTTAGCTGACTACTAAGGATTAAATTTGTGATCAGATGTCTATAGTATTGCCTAAGGTTCAGGCAAAAGCTTTTAGGGGTGGCACTCATCTGTCGCCCAGTGTAGCAGTAGTTTCACTCTGGAGTAAATGACGTTTGTAGCAGCCATTCATCATTATGCTTTTTGTATCTATCAGGGTGGTTTTTTGATCCCGTGCAGGAAGATCCATACAAAGGTTCCACACAGATGAACTCAATTTCAGACATTCCTTTCCAGAAAGTGACTGTGCTAAAACTAACTCTCAAAATCATATCTCAGCAAAAATGGAAGCACTGATATGTGGCTCTTCGTGCATTTTTTGCAAGCCTGGACAGAACAAAAGAGAAGGCTAATGAATGATTGGTTGCTCAAACACACTCTTCTGCTTGCCTTGTCCACTTGGGAAACTTGGGCCTGCTGTTTGCCTCACCATCTGTGCCACTTTCTGCCTCTGTCTTCTGGAACTGGCCCTCAGCTCTTTTACGCTGCCCCTTTGCTATTGTCAAAAGCTGTCTAAATATATAACTATTTGATCTTGCTTATGGTCATCCTCCTTCCCTCCCTTTCCCCCACTCTTGCTTGATACCATCTCTGTAAAGTGCTCCGCGACGTTGCTCCACCTGAAGGCCATTGAATAAATGCTAGTTATTGGTTTCGAGCTCTTCTCCCATCTACTTTGTTTTCCAACCTCCCTGTAGTACTTTGAATATTGCATCTCTGAAGTTAATTCTCTTGTTCATTCCAAGTATAACATGTGCAAGTTCCTCTCTTTGAATGAACTAAAATCCAAACTTGCAGCCCATTCGTCCTACTTTTTCTCATTCCTTTTTTCCCCCGCAGGACCTTTTTACTTTGAAACCTTTCTTGGGCTTCCCTCAAGCAGACTTAACATCTAAGTTTGTCTTCGCATAAAGGAAGATGTGGAGAATTTTTTTTTGACACAGAGAGTTGTTATGGTCTGGAATGCACTGCCTGAAAGGGTGGTGGAAACAGATTCAATAACAACTTTCAAAAGGGAATTAGATAAGTATTTGAAAAGGAAACATTTGCAGGGATATGGGAAAAGAGCGAGGAAGTGGGACTGATTCATTAGCTCTTCCAAAGAGCTGACACAGGCACAATGGGCCGAATGGTCTCCTTCTGTGCTGTAATATTCTATGATAACCACTGCTCATTGACTTTCCTTTTCACTCNTTTTTTCAACCTTGGTAGTATCCTGCACTAAACAGCTTGACATGTTCACTAGGTTTATAACACTTGAGTGCACATGAGATGTGGCTTGATTCTGTTGACATTTTTCTAGAATGGTTTAGACACGCGCAGCAGTCTGCCTACTCCAATCAGTGTCTCAGCTACCTGGACCGAATGTAATGGCATAGCTCCAAAAGACAGAAGTTATAGTGGTTGTTTAAAGAACTTTCAGATAACTGCAGTATAACTACTGGAGGTGTGCAGGGTAGAGGGACGAGATAAGTCTCTACTCCTTCCTTATGATAAGGCTGATTGTGTTTTTCTCCACCCTCCCCCTCACCACATCTGCTCAGTGCCCACCCCTTTCTCGGTCATTACTATTAAGTGCTATACAAATATAATTTTATATTGTAAAATATATATTGTCTTTTTGTCTTTGTTTTAAACTGTTTCTTGGTTCTCTTGTTTTCTGATCAAGTGGAAAGGTTTGATCATTGTGCAACTGTGCAACTAGAGTACTAAGAATTTGGTTTGCAATTCTGCCTGGGTATATCACCCTCCACCCCATTTAGTCCATTAAGCAAGATGTTAGACTATGGAAAATTCTTGATCTATACCAGCCTCCTGTGTGTCAGTGATCATGCATTTTCGGATACAGGAGATGTGATTGTATATGGGTATCTCGCTGGCAGACTGCTAACCAGTGCAGCAATAAAGAACGTGCTGATCTTTGAAACCCTGGATTGTGTCTCCCGTAACTCTGCACTGGCAATAGAGGTGTGGATTTCTGGTTAGTAATGGAAAGATGATGTAATTGGGAACCAGTCAAAGCTGAACGTTATATTTGTAAGAGTTAATTCTCCTGAAGAGGTATGTTCATGTCGGCAGAATGCCTCTGCCTCGTTTGATGAATATTGGGCACAAAAACAAATCATTGTTTCTAGCTGAAATACAACTTAATGTGGAATCCATACACATGGGAGAATTAAATCTCCAGAAAGGATCTGGTAGTCCAGACATTCTGTACCCAACTGATTATTTGCCAGCTAGGTGCATTTTCTGTATGACTAGTTATTTTGTAATTAACTGGATGTAGTAATAACTTAGTAATTAGTTTCAAGGTCACAAAAGTTTTGCTAATCATATCGTACAAAATCCAGGCGTCCAGAAGGAATAGAAAGTTCGGATCACTATCAGACAAGGCTTGGTTATGATGGAAGGCAAATAGAAGGCAACCATCCCCCAGCACCTCTGCCTATTTGGATTTAAGTGGTTCTTTTAGATTGAATTATCTCAAATGTTCTATAAACAATTACACCAGAAATCAGTCTTTTTAAAATAAATGTTCTTTTTCCGCTTTGCTTCTGTCTTATTATTAAGGTCATTGATAAATACATCGAAATAGGGTGGGTGACAATGGGCAGTCTTGGTGGGTGCCCCCAAGTGTGGAATCATGGTTCTGCACGACTCAAGAGAAGACATCGAGGGTATTGATTGGAAGATTGAAGGGCAGTCCGTCCAATTATCTGATGTCTTAGTGGTAGACGGAGATTATCGTGGACACCACATTTTTCTTGGAAGGTGTGTTGAAGGACCTGGCAGAGAAGGGGCAAATAGCACTCTGGTTGTGCTCGTCTCTCCAACGACAGCAAGGTCCCAATACAGTCAAGCTTGTGGTACATAAGACCACAAGGTTTCTGTGCAGCTCTGAGCTTCTGGCGAACAGAGAGGCTTCCTCCATTCCATTTGAATACTCCCAGGATCAAGTGGCAAGTTGGATTTGTGACAAACGTGGGATGCGGCTACAAGGAGGGAGGGAGGGCACTGACCTGTTGCTGAGTACCTGGAGGCAGAGTCGGCTTCACAGCATTTGCCAAAGGCCCTTCACGTGAGGATCTGGATTAAGCAGCTGGTGCTAAATAAGTCTGGTATGTGCTGTTGGACTTGGACCTTGAACATCAAGATTCCTGGCATGTCACACGCTGTCCTGAAAAGGCCTGTTGCACCACCCTGAAGGCAGATGTCTGTCAGATAGTTCATGAGGAAACCGGGGCTTGGGAGCTACTGAAGTTGTTGCCTGGTGTCCAAGTTCGTGGACTCACATTTGTACATCCAGGGCTTGGAATCCACATTCATTGGTTTCCAGAGAAGGAAGCAGCAGCTTCTTCAGCTCTGCACCTCCAACTGATGGCACCATCACTCAATGGGAAGGGATATGCGTCCAAAGATGGTGGCCGTGCTCTCATGCATTTCATGCTGCTGTATTGCCCGCTAGGAAGCTCGCGGGGAATACCTGGTATTTGCCATCCACCTAGTGAGGCCTAATGTCAAATGACCAACTAGAGACTATCCTCTGGGGGTTTGGGGGAGGAGGTAAGCAGGGGCTTTGAGCTGAACTGGTTCCAATGGGACACATTTAGCAGTGAAATGTCAGAATCAAGCCAACCCTTCTATGGCAGTCTCTTGGTAGTCCAGTTCTTGAGCCAGGCAAGTCCACAGTACTCCAGGGCACTGTTGATGACAGCACAGGTTTGTCGGCAGGACTTGGAAGGGCAGACGAATCACTGGGAGCAGGGATTCTTCCCGCTTAACTCCTATTAACCCTGCAAGCAACCCTAACAGCTGAAAAAGCTTGCCAGAGAGCGCTTTCATTGGCAAGCTATGCAGTTTTAGCTAGTTTAGCTGGTTAGACTCCAGCAGTATATCCCACCACACGTTCAGGGCTCTTGCCAACTTGCACTTCATACTCTCCGGAATTAGGTAAACGGGATGCATCCCTCTAGAGAGAGAGTGCGCATTCCATTCCAAAAAATATTCTCGAATTTCCATGTTTCGGTGCTCTCTGGTTTGGATACTCATAAGCATAGAAATGGATTTGTCAGATACCTTTTTTAAAAAAAAGATGATTACGGTTGCAAACTATTTTTGCTTTTTTAATATTAAAAAAAAGTGACTCCTGATATTGACTTATTTACCTTTTTTTAATGATCTTGCCGACTATAAACATGGCTGACCTCCATTGCTACTCATGCCCACAGCTAGCAGGAAGTGGAATCTGTGCTGAGTTATGGCCTGAAAGTCAAGCCTGTTTGTATTTCCAACCCATCAGCTTTTTCATGGTGGGAATAAATTTTCCCAGATTTGGAACAAATTTGGAAAATCCTACTATTTTTACAATTTTTTTTTTAAAAAACAGTGGAAACTGTTATAACTACCTATAATGAAGTTTATAATAATATAGCACCTTTTCGGTCGGGAGAATTTATCAAAGCACACCACAGGAATTATTGTGAGGTCCCGTCTGCCTGTTCAGGTGGACGTTAAAGATCCCATGGCAATTCAAAAAGAGAACAAATCCAACTAGTCAACAAATCCCCCAAATATAAATTGGTCACCTACTCCACAAATGTCTGTGGGATACTACTGTGCGCAAATTGGCTGCCGGGTTCACCCACAAAATATGCAGTCAATCCACTTTACAGTATATCCTATGAAGTGCTTGGAGAACTCTCAATGACACGATAAGGCACTATATCAAATGCAAGGGTTATTGTTAAGAGGAGTAATTGTATTTGTAGGCACACTTGGCAGTGTATTTGTACATTGATGTCCGACAAACAGCCACTTATGATGTAAAGTCATTAGTTATGTTGCCAGGTTTTCCAAAACATGCTGGGAGAACTCTTCACCGATTCTTTTCCCATCTGCTTTTCAAATGGGTACAAATCTGACTAGGCTGTTTCTGTACTCGTTACCACCTTTGATTTGGGATTCTGTTTTTGAATTGAAATGGGTTTTTAATTAAACTAAAGGGACACAGCCCTGAGGGCCAGTGCACTATTGCTCAGATTGAAAGAGTAACTGATTCCTCCAGAGTTGGTGGCCAGTCATTTGGTATAATGAAATATACTTCTGCCATATTTTTGTGAGTTCCTGTTGCATATTTTAGATTTGCAATGATTCATCTTAAATGGTTCTAGCATCATAATTGCTGCTCAGTATATTTCTAGTTGAACTGTATACATTCTATGGGGATTATAGGGAGAGGCCATCCTCAGCCCACCAAGCCGGTTCTGCTAGTTTATTAGATCTCAGCAGATCTTTGAGTACCTATTTAGTTGTATTTTACTTTTCCTTGTAATCTTTAATATTCTTACCTCTCATGTATCTATCTTCGATTTAAAAATCCCAATTTATTCAGCTTCATTGGCCTTCTGGATTGGTGCAATGCCAAATAATTTTTTTAAAAAAATCATTCCAATACCTATCTTTAATTGACCCTTTTGTTAATATCAAAATCACCGTGAAGTTCCTGTGAGGTACTTTGAGACATCTCGGATGTGATAAGTGGAGGTGAGGTTTGTTATACCATAGTAGTTGAGCGAAGGGAGAGGAGATTATAAAATCCCACCCAGTGCTGTAATGCGGCATGATCGCTTGTCAGCTATTTTTCATTCACTGCATTTGTGTGCAGAAAAATGAAATACTTGTTGGTGTGAAGTACACCAAAATTACTGACTTCCAAGGCTATAGGTCACAGATGAAGTCACTTTCTATGCACTGCGCAGGCATATTAGCAGGAACCCACCGACACAGAACTTGGCCATTTTAGCTTTCTCTCCCCCCCCCCCCCCCCATGCTAGCTGGCATTTTGTTATTGTGCATTGCAATGGAGTGGTCCTGCGTGTATTGAATATTTTGGATACATTAATGTTTTGGTCCAAACTCCCAACAAGGACACCTGCAATCTAATGAACCCCTTTCTAACTATATCTTAAAATTGAAGATGTAATCTTCAAAAAATTGCTGCAGGTGCTATATTAAAAATGTTTTTGTGGAAAAGTTTAGGCTGTTTTCCCCATTCATCTCATACCTTGAATGAGACATTAAACTGAGGTCCTATCTGCCTGTTCAGGTGGACGTTAAAGATCCCATTGGCACTATTCGAAAAAAGAAGCGTGTTTCTCATGGTGTCCTTGCCAACAATTCTCCAGATAATATTGATCACTCACTTCATGTTTGTTTGTGGGGAAATTGGCTGCTGCTTTTGCCTACGAAATGTACCACTGTTTAGGATAATTCCTGTGAAGCACTTTGAGACATCTCGGATGTGATAAGGCGCTATAATCAAATACAAGGATTATTATCCACACACATTTCATGTGAGAAAAGTGTTAGATTATAAACTGCTTATCTTCAAGATTCTGAAAGGATTTTAAGTTGTACTATGCAATCCATATACAAAAGTCAAAAGTACCTGCATTCTTTTCACTTAAATAATTACTTGATCTATAGATAAACTTTTGAAAATAATGAACTGAAATCTCCATATAAGGTTCTCTCTTGTATTAAGTTATTTTTTTTCTTTTTAACAGTCGTTCCAAGGCAGCCAGGGACGAGCGTACCTGTTTAACTCTGTGTAAGTACCATACATGCTTTTGTTTTCTCTTTGTTATAAGGTAGTTCCATTCATAATTTTAAACCGGGTTCGTCACCATGATAGATGGATGTCTTGTGTGTTTTCTCTAGATCCCTCTGAATTAAACTGTTACCTAGGTTCTCATGCAATGTGCTTCCTTGTTTTTTGGTATTGTAGGCATTTTAAATGCAAAAAACCACAAGAATAGCTTCACCTTATCCTCTCTCTAATGCACGTATACACGTTTTTTTTGCAGGGAGGATGTGTGGAACTGTTTCTTTGGTGTATGAAGAGTGTTTTTTATTTTAAGATTGAAGATTACCCTATAGGTTTAACTTATTTAAAAAATGGCTTCATATTCCTTGTGTATCATAGAATCATAGAATTATACAGCATAGAAGGAGGCCATTCGACCCATCGTGTCTGTGCCAGCTCTTTGAAAAGAGCTATCCTATGCAATCCCACTCCCCCACTTTCTCTCTATAGCCTGCAAACTTGTCCTCCCAAAATAATTATCTGCTTCTCTCTTAAAAGTTGTTATGGAATCAGCTTCCACCACCCGTTCAGGCAATGCATTCCAGATCCAAACAACTTGCTGTGTGAAAAAATTTCTTCTCACCTCCCCTCTGTTTCCTTTAACAACTATTTTAAATCGGTGTCCTGGGGTTACCGACCCACCCGCCAGTGGAAATAATTTCTCTTTGTTCACCCTATCGAATCCCCTCATAATTTTGCAAACTTCTATTAAGTCTCCTCTTAACCTTCTCTGCTCCAAGGAGAATAATCCTCACTTCTCTGCCTCTCCTCATAACTGAAGTCCCTCATTCCTGGTACCATTCTGGTCAATCTCCTTCGCACCCTCTCCAATGCCTTGCCATCCTTCCTAAAGTGTGGTGCCCAGAACTGAACACAGTCTCTCGCTGAGGACTAACCAGTGTTTTATATAAAGGTTCATCGTAACTTCCTGACTTTTGTATTCTCTGTCCCTATTTATAAAGCCCAGTATCTTGTATGCTTTTTTAACAGCTTTATCTACCTGTCCCTCCACCTTCAAAGCTTTACTTATATGAACCCCCAGGTCTCTCTGTTCCTTCATCCCTTTTAAGATTGTACCATCAGCTTATATTGCCATAAGCTAAGTGGTATGTTATGTGACCTTTACCAGTGTATGCATGGTTTGCTGATTGGAGTGCTGCAGTTGTAGAGTGGAATGGCGTCTTCTGGGTGTGGCTTTGAATATAATCAGTACTGGCAAATGACCCTGAGCTGATGGGAAATGCATTTCACAACATGCTCCTGCACCGTTGCAAAGATGCTTACTGACTGCACACAGGCCCTGATCAAATTTTTATGGTGCAGCTTTAAAGGAGTGGTGAAACACAAAGTGTATCATAGCAGAATCATTTTGCCTGTTTGGATTGTATTTGAATCTATAATGGCGACTTAAAGTTTGGAAATGTATGTGTTGGAAAATGTCTGGTTCTTCCCCCTGGAGGAACTCTTGGCCTGTGTTTACATTGTGTTGTGTCTGTAGGTTGTGTGTTTGAGGAGTGGCTGAGGACAAGATGACTGAAGGCTTTGATCTTTTCCTGTGCAGGGTCAATGTGGGTTGTGGGCCAGCCGAGGAGAGAGTACTGCTGACCGGACTGCATGCCGTAGCCGATATCTACTGTGAAAACTGCAAAACCACACTGGGATGGAAATATGTACGTGTCTGCATTAACTTTTTTTTTAAACAGTGGCTGTTACTCGCCAACAAGCTCCCCGGGGTGCTACCCCACGTGAAGGGCGCTAAATAAATGCAAGTTGTTATTGTACTAATTTCTAGGTAGTTCCCCCTGTCCCCCACCTCTAGAAGAGCATATTTGTGTAGTGTCACCAGCTGATGAGATATGATGCAGATTTTTGCTCCATTTCTCCCCCAAATAATTTTATCATTTCAAGTGCTGTAAGATCGTTGTGAACTCTGCTTCCTGACCTAACAATAATCTCCATGGACTCACAGCACGCTAATGGTCTCTTGTAATCAGATTGAACATGTTGCACAATTCCGTATTGATCACAGTTGTTTCACTTAAGAATGAAACATTGCCACCGCAGTGCCACTTTATCCCTGTAGCTTTCAGCAACTGCTGCCCACTGTAAGTTTTTATTTTACTCTTACAGTTGATGCTAACCTAATGATAGTCGCATGCGATCAATTCTTCCTCTAAATGAATTCACTTCAATAATTACAACACAAACAATATCTGAAAAAGCCTATCAAAAGCTCCAGTGCATTATAACGAGACAGATTTGGATGAAGAGCTCTTCAGACCCTTTTATTGCATTCGTTCAGAATACTAACCATACTATCTATGTTGCAGCATCTAGCTGTTAAGTCCAATGTCCTTGCCTCAAAATCATTTCCAATCCTCCATCCAGCTGTTGACTTACTCTTGGTTTGAAGCAATATTCCCTTGTGCCTTTCTGAATGTTGTTCTGTTGCCTTGGTGTATTTGAAAGTATTTGTTGCTGGTTTACTATGTATCTTGTGGAGACCTGTAGCTCAGTGGTTAGAGCACTCGCCTTGCAAACGGGAGACCTGGGTTCGATTCCTGGGCAGGACGAAACGTTGGGCAAGTTTCCTTATTCCACACACCTCTGTTTACCTAGCAGTAAGTAGGAATCCAGTTGTTAGTTGATTGGCAGATTGCTTTTCCGGGGTAATAATTCTTTCAAAAGAAAATAATAATAATAAATTGGTCACTCAATCCACAACTGCTGAATGCAATTGGCTGCCGCGATTCGCCCACAAAATATGCAGTCAATTCGCTTTACAGTATATTCTGTGAGGTGCTGTATAACATCTCAAAGATGTGATAAGGCCCTATCTCAAATGTAAGGATTATTATTATCTTGTGTACGTCTACCAAATCCCCATCTGTCTACTCTATTTTGAGGCTAAAGAATCCTTACTCATCACTGCTGTCATCTACCCCTAGTATCACAACAGTGCAACTCAGAATGTGCAGTACACTAGGTACAGCTTTACTGGAGCATTAACCTCGGTGGATTTGAAGTCAACTAATTTGACAATGTAGACCAATGTCTTTATTGCTTATTCGCACATCCTTTGGATTTAGTGAGTGACACGTGACTTGGTGGATGTGCAACCAGCAGTAAGTGATCACAAGATTAGTTTGGATGAAGAAAACCCTTTGGCCCATTTCTTCGTTTCAGAGTATTGCCGTTGAAAAAGTAACAACAACTCACAAATCCCTGACTGTCCAGTGCCTTGGGACGTCCTCCTGACAATGAACAACAACAACAAAATGACATTATAAAGCGCCTTTCGCGTCAGGGTGACATCCCAAGATGTGAAAGGCGCTATACAAATGTAATTTTGTATTGTATAGCACCTTTCAAGTGGGGTAGACTCTCAAAGCACTAAACAGTGACAGAGCTTGATGCTGACCCAGGGAGAGAGGAAAGGCGACCATAGTTACTGTTGAAGAGGAAGGTCTTCAGTGTGATCGGAAGACAGACAATAATGGGGGAAAGCAAAGGGATTGAGGTAGAGAGTTCCAGAGTCTTGGGTCGTAATAGCTGAAAGCATGGCTCCTGAGGGTGCAGCAGAGGAGACTCGGGATGCGCCGGAGGCCAGAGCCAACTGAGCAAAGTGGGTAGAGGAGAGAGGTGTAAGCAGATCTGAGAAATAGGGAGCTTCCAGGGCCTGAAGTGATTTTTTGTACACAAGTGTGAGGATCCTGAAATCGATTCATTCTGCAATCGAGAGCCAGTGGAGCCTTGCAAGGATAATGGGGGTGTGGAGTTTAGTGTAGGTGAGCACACAGGTGGTGGAGTCTTGAATTAATTGTATTTTATGAGTAGGTGAAACTGGGGAGACTGGTGAGGAGGGCATTGGAAAAATCAAGGCAGGAGGTGATGAATGTGTGTATAAGGGTTTCAGCTGTGCTGGGTGTGAGGTTTACTACTACTGTACTACTACTGTCATTAGTAGATGAGAGAAGAGAGACCAGTTACCATGAAACCTTACCTCTTTGACCTTACCTCTTTGACCCTACTGCCCCAGCTGCTCCGTCCAGTCAGCCTATTTCATGCCCTCACCATGAGTGGGCAAGCACCGATTCTACTGCTCTCTAGAACTCCATCCCAAAGTCCCACTCACTCCCTCCCCACCTTCAAAACCTGTCTTAAAACCGATTTATTCAATTGTGCTTTCAGCCACCTTTTATTATTATAATAGTAATCATCCTTGCATTTGATATAGCGCCTTATCACATCTTCAATACATCTCAAAATGCTTCATAGAGTATACTGTAAAGTGTGGTGGCTGTGTATTTGTGGATGAAACGCAGCAGCTAATTGCGCATAGCAGTTTCCAACAAAGTCGTGGTTTGAATGACCAAATGATACATGTTCTTTACTCCACACAGAGGCCTCCTGACATGAACCATGCCATATAAATATAAAGGGTTTCTTCTTTCTTCCCCCCCCCCCCACTTCTCCTTAGGTGGAACGGGGGGATCAGCCTTGTTTCTTTTGTGCCTTTTCCAATCGATGTATTTCATTAACCAAACTTGGTGGGGGTCAAGCGAATACACTGTAAAGTCTTGGAAAAACTTCAATATATTTGTGTTCTACTCTTTTGACTGAATCTTGGCTTTCTATTAGTCTTTTAATTGCTTATGATGAATTGGAGGCCTCTGTTTAGAGACCTCTTGTTAATTAGTATTAGAATGGATTTTTTTGTCCTTGTGTTAGAGTAGTTCAAGTTAAATCACCTCATGTTTAGAATGACAATGGGAGGGATCTTAACATCAGGATTGTTCTATCTTAAGAGTTGGTGGTTACGATGGAGAAGGATTTTGATTTAGTATAATGATACTTGCATTTGATTTGGGGCCTTTCACGTCTGGATGACATCTCAAAGTGCTTTTTAGAATGTCCTGTATTGTGACTGGATTTTGTAGGTGAATGCAGCAGTTAATCTGCACATAGAAATATCCAACAAAGAGGCCATGAAGTGAGTAACCAATTTCATGTGGGGTGGATTGTTGGCCTGGACACCCGGAGAAATGCCCTTCCCTTTGCCATCGAATCCTGAACGTCCTCTACGATCCAAATGATCGTATCTCCCAACACTGTAACACACCAACTTCCTGTAGCATTGGAGTGACAAAATTAGACACTGCTCAGCAAACACCAGCCCGGAGCCCAAAGGCTTCAACAGCTGGTGTTTGCTGAGTGGAGTATGTGGCCAAGGCAATAGCGCTGTAGGTGGTCACAGAGGTAGGGTTGGGCAAGGACATGGAAGCATTTCAAAATGAGGACAAGAATCTTGAACTCTGTCTTTGAGAGAGTCAGTGGAGTTGAGAGAGGATGGAGTGATGGGCTCTTGGAGCCTGGAGTGGCTACAGAGTTCTGGACAGCCTGTGGATTATAACATTTTTACAATATCACTCATTGTAGGAAATCAACCATGGGAATCCAGACATTCCCATCTCAGTAGCTTTTTGTTTTCAGCGGCTTGTTGAATTCACAATATAAATTTGTCTGTGCATTTGTCTATTTTTACTGTTCCTTACATGCTCTGAACTCTTTTTTTTCCACCTTCCATCTATCTGCAGGAGCACGCATTTGAAAGCAGTCAGAAGTACAAAGAAGGAAAGTTCATAATCGAACTGGCCCATATGATCAAAGACAACGGGTGGGAATGAGGAGCAGGCGGAGAAACCTGCCCAGCCCCCAGCATGGCTGTGGCAAACTCACTTTGAGATTATATTAGAGACTGATCTAATGGACAGAGAATGATCTGCGATGAGACAGCTCAAAGAATATTTTGCTGAATTTTAAACCTCACAGCTGAACCATTGATGTCGCCTTTTGTCGGCCTTCAGGCCCCTCTGCTATTTCTCTCTATAGGTTTGGTGTTCTCTAATGTGTGAAACACTGTAACTTCAGTAGACAAATTGTTTTTTCCAATCTTTCTGCAGTTTGAGTGAGGGAAGAAACACTTTGGAGAGAGTGGCTTTTACAAAATGACTGTTCCAATTAGCTCTCCACTCTCCCCCCCCCCCCCCCCCCCCATCCTGTCTGTCTCTCTCCTGTTGCTTGCATGCTTTTACACTAGTTTACTGGATTAGCTGACCAGTTTGGAGGAGGGTTGATGAGGGAATATATTTTTAAAAATGTAGCATTTTTTTTAAAATTTGATTTTTGGAACTGGGTAAAGGATACAGAGTTGTGATATTTTGAGACAATACCACTGGTTACCATTGAATCTTTTGTTACTCCAACCTGCAGCCAGAGATCTGGTAATGCAGCAATCCAGCGCCCAGTTACCTGCAACTATTACCGGGAGTGGGTACATGGTGGGGTGGGGGGGGGGGGGGGGGAGAAGCAACCACTGAAATAATAAACTTTAAAAAGTCACGTATGGCTGGTTCCATGTAGCATAGCAGTACACTAACGCACTGAACAAACCGGGCGCTAAAAGAGAGGTCTTCTGGACAAGATTTTCCTTTTCTAATGTGTAGAGCTGGGCTCCCGGTCTGTGGATTGGTAGATTTAACGGAACGCAGGAAGTTCTTTTGCACATGCCTGGGGAGTGGGGGTTCCTTTAAAAAAAAAGAAAAAAAAAGGCGCGCACACCAGAATTTTTTTGTTTATAATTTAAACCATTTTTTAAAAAACCTTTCAGTTTTTGTTTCTTCCTGTGGCCTGGTAATTTCCAGACAGCTGTTCCTGGAGTGTGGGCTGTTTGGGTGCAGTGGTTTGCTGGTTAAATCATTTATGTGAGAGCAAGCTGTTTGTAAACAACGGTGCTCTCTGCTGCTAACGTCACTCAGTGTTAATGGAAAGATGGTGTCGGATCTTGTATTTCCTTTTTTTTGCACTTGAGTGCATTCATTTTCTTTTTTTAACTGGCGATGTTAAAGGTGTGCTCTCATTCCCTTATTCCACGTACCTAATCTGCGTTGTGTTTTTTTTTCTTGGCGCATAAGCGCTATCAGAATTCCCATTCCCTAGTGCAGTGCATTGATTGGAATTTATAGGGATGGGGTTTCCGGCTGAATGAGCGCTGCTGAAGGAGGAAAGGGGTCAGGCTGGTTACTGCACCATTTTCAGCAGGGTTATGCCACAAACTATTATTTACTTGAAGCATACTACAGATTTGAAAATCTTGTTGAACAGTTTCCCTATAAAACATTTTGTACATAAAAAACATATTTAAAGTTTTATACATATTTTTACTGGGTAAGTTAATTTCGCTTCCCTGACCTGAGCACTTTTGTTCTGTGTACTTCTGTCTTTTGTTGCGTTAATGCTACTGCGTCTGTAAGAAGATTAAAAAGACCTTTATTTTGGGATTGGGATTTTCTTTTTTTTGGTATTTTAGCTTCTTGGACCAATTGAACAGGCTTCTGAGCTGGCTAATCCCAGAAGGTTTGTCTGTTGGGTTTACCTCCAAGTCCTAACAAAAAAAGAAGCTACTTTTTTTAAAAAATAAAAAGCTTTTTTTTTAAAAAATCTCTTGTTTGTTTCAGCTTTAGAATTGTTAATATACATCCAGTAGTAAGCATTGCTGTGAGTTGGGGCCAGTGACCGGTGATAGAGATGAAGGCTTGAGTGTTGTAGTGTTGTTTTCTACAAGGACGATTGCTAATATTACAAGGTCTAAAGCATGTTTTACAGAGAAAAGTAATGTTGATTTGTGCCTGATTTCTTTTATATTTTGAAAATAAAATTATTTGAATGCTTTTTCTATTACTGTTGGACTTTACATTGCTTTGCCTAGAAACTACATCACCTTTGTCCAGCAATTCACTGTATTGTACGTACTGGAGTTATCACAATAAAGATGTTCACCAGGACTTGGTCTGTCTGAGTTAATGAGACAAGTGAGTGGTACTTACAATCGGCAGTGCGAGGACAGATGTGGATTGTACAAATAGGGCCCAGGGCAGTGTTGCTGCTGATGGCAGTCTTCTGAATTAAACATTCCTGAGCTCTATCAGATGGTTGTAAGTTGTCTTTTTTTTATTTAGGCTCTTATTGCAACCGAGGACAAATTGTCCCCTTCACACGTGTCCCTGGGCAGACCTGTGTGTGTTTCCAACAGTGGGAGGTAACTGGAGCTAGTAACTGTTGCTGTTGAGTCTCCTCTGCTGCCCTGTGAGAGAAGCAAGGGAATTCTATTAACAGCCAACCCTCACAGAGCAAATGAAAGTGCATTAAAACCATGGAATAATTATTGATCCAGAAATATTTTAGCCCTTCTATTACGAAGTGCCTAGTTTCTACTTGGCAAATATCCAAGGCCAGTATTTGGACAGACTCCATGTTTCATCACTCTAGTTTCAAGGGTATTAGAGTCAACACTGATATTGTTCACCCTGATTAAAAAATAGTAACACTTTCTTGGGTTACAGTGCTTTGAATATTTTGGTTTGATAAATTTGGTCACCTTGAGCGAAAGTCAGGGAATCCTGTCATGTGGCATTGGGAATTCCTCTACTTTCTAAATGACTTTTGGAGGAATTCTACAACATTGCTCCAGTCAGGTGTAGGATTTGTAGGAGCAATAATTTGAAAAACATAGTCTTGAATTTGGAGCAGAGTGAGTTCATTTTTCAGTAACGATTAATGCCTGAGATTCTCAGCCCCTCATCAATCTGTCTAATAGTTTGCATTCCTGTTTAGTCAGTGTACTTTAAATCCTCTAGTTGGCTAAGTCTGAAGGAGGCTTCTGCCACATTTGTCATAAATCAATTGCCTTTTTTTTAATCATATCTAAAGATTAAATTGCAGGAGGAATGCAAAGTTTATCACGCAAACTTTAAAATATTCAGAAAAAGATTTAATGCACCAGGGTTTCCATTCATGTTCATCAAGGTGAAGGGTGTTAGTGAATGGGATGCTTCTCTATTTGGGCACCCAGTATCAACATCAGATCAAATGCTGCACAAATTAGAGGTGGAATAAAACTTTCTGTACCGGCCACAGGTAAGCATTTTTAGGTTGGAGAATAAGTGAAGCTCCACAGTATGCCATACAACGCCCTCAGGTAAGGTATTGTACAGGTTAAATACAAGCAAACGTTCTTCACTTCCCTTTAAGTGTCTGTTAATCCTACTAAGTGTTTCATATGGGTGGGAGGTTGGCTCACGTGCTTTGAACTAATACTGATCCAAACTCCACTTTCTATCTTTACAACTATCAGAGAGCAAGGAGATTTTAATTCCATCAGTTCAGGCAAGATGGAAACCAAACTGACAGGTTAAAGGACCATCATCATCACTATATTATGTCCAGGTATATACTTGATTAGAAACCTACTGTTTGTGGCATTTGTTCTACTCCTGGCAATGTAGATGAGGGAAAAACACTTATCGTAACACTTGGATTGGTTACGATGAAACAGCTGGAGCAGTGATGAACGCTAATGAAGTGAATGTCTAATTTGTTTCAGTGAATTGGATGGAGGCTGAATATTGGCTTGGCTGTGAGTGCAGAACTTTAAGTGTAAAACTAGTGGACATCTCAAACTGACGTTCAAAAACAAGCTGTATAAATATTGGGTTAGGAAATGGATTGGAGAGTTGGATACAGGCACAATTGTTTTTTACTGTTTAAAGCTGAAGAGAAGGGATGAATACTGGGAATAGATGACTATTCTGCAGGAGTTGCTACATCATCTTTGGGGAATATTTATCCTTGCATTTTATGATTTTTGTTTTCTTAACCTCTTTAGACTCTTACTCAGGAGATTAAGTTGACTCCAGGCTATGGTGAACATGGCAGTTCATGGTCTTTGGAGCACGAAGGATTTCTTGACCCATTCTTGTTCCTTATTCTCTTATGTTGTTAATGAGGAAAGTAAACTTTTGAATGATTAGAACATAAGAAATGTTGGACGCAAAAAGACCAACGTCCATCTAGTTCTTCCTGGCGGTCACATGCACATATGTCCCAATCAATTAACCCATTGATTGTCAGTGGATTAATACTTGTGGGCATTTTGCCCTTGCAATTGTTTACGCTATTTCAGAGGAGCTTTAAACAATAATATTTCTTGCATTTGGTATCTCAAAAAGCACTTCACATGATTGACTGTAGAGTGTAGCAACTGTGTATTTTGTCAGCAAACTGGGCAGCCAGTTTGTACACAGCAACAAGTAGCAACAGCTGGTAATAATAAATAAAATTAATAATATTCCTTGCATTTGGTTCAAAAACACTTCACAAGACAAACAACAACAAATTACATTTGTATAGCGTCTTTCACATCAGGAGGACATCCCAAGGCACTGGACAGTCGAGGGTTAGCACCTGAGCTAACCTTCCTCTTCGGTTATCTTCCCACCCCTTCCCCCCAACTTGACAGTGTGGGGGTTGGAGGAGATGCCGTGATACTGGAAAGTCGAGTGAGTGAGTATTTGTGGGTAAATGCAGCAAGCCCAATTGCGCACAAGCAAAGTCCCACAAACAGCCATGAAATGAATGACTGTTTTATTTAGTACTGGGAAAGGAGAAGAGTGAGAAAATTAATGCAGGATTGGCTATAACAGCACGGAATCCTTTTGTAAAGGGGAGGGCGTCAGATTGAAATGTACTTAAAACCTATTCTTTCACACTTCCATGGTTCAACGTATCCAGTGGCGAAAATATCAGTCACAATGTTATTTTACGTCCCAGTGTGATAAACCAATACATGAAAGAACTACTGAAACAACTACAGAACCTCAAACCTGGTTTCAATTGCTTTGAGCTATTTATATCTTGGGGTTTGCCTCTAATAATACCAAGTGCCTGTTGTGTCTCATCAATTGTTGACATTCGAAGCAAGCTCCTTCAGCGTGATAATTAACATTCACTCCAAGAACTACACTGGAATGAACGCTTACAGAATTGGATGTTGGAATTCACACAGTCAACTGGAATTGTTTGTACTGTGCACAGGTGCCAATTTTACTACAGTAATATTGAACCTATCTATGATTCTGAAAGGTGTCGGTCGGCCTGGCTTAGTTAGCAACACTCTCGCCTCTGACAGAAGATTGTGAGTTCGAGCCCCTTG